CTTGCTCTCTCTCTCCAGGAGTGCCTTGCGCTTGCTCTCCTCAGTCATCCTCAGGAGAGAAGTCGCTGGTGTTTTAGTTGGCTAACGCCCCTACCTTTGGGGAAAACAAGTGCTCTCCTTCCTTCAACCAGCCTTGTAATTGCACGCGCTCCCTGACTGCCCTCTGCGTTCTCCCGTGAGGTCTAACTTAGTCTGCTCTTCATACTGCCTTTGACTGTGAGGCCACACGGCACCTTGATCACCACTAACGAATAGAAGGTAAAGGGTTTTCCTCCTAGCCTCCTTCCGTGTGTCCCCTGTCGGTTCTCAGAGTTTGGGCAGGGCTCCGGAGGATGTCCCAAGTCCCAGGGAAAGGTCATGGATAACAATTTCATATTCCAGCAGATTCAGGCCAGAAGGTGGGTGGAGGCGGAAGGCGGAAGCCCGGAGAAGCAGTGTTTGCCCCATGGAAGACCCCTTCCCGGTTCCCAAAGGCAATTCTCTAAGACAGAGCATCTACAGTCTGGGAGAAGGAGAGCACAGGAGGAATGCTGTGGCATTCTCGGGTCACGCAGGTGCTACCAGAGCTGAGGGCTGCCCGGGCACTGCAGAGAAGATGGGCAGGAGCCTGGGAGTGGCTGCAGCCTGCCGCCCGCACCCCCAGGCCCAACCACATCATCCCAGAGCTCCCGCAGCAGGAGTCCTGGGCCACTGGTTGCCTCGAGGGCCCTGACCAGGGGAAGGTGGGACTCAACCTCCAGGAGGTGGACTTGGCTTCCATGTTCCCTTTTCATCCCATCTCCTTTGAAGGGTTAAGGGTCTTATTTCTCCAAAATCTCTAGCAGACTGTGGTGGTGGCTGACTGCTGAACTAGCCCGACCTGAGGAGCACCAGAGCAATGCCTGGTTACCCGGGACGGAGCGCAGTGCCCATTCTCTGCTCACATGACGTGTTATTGGGTTGTTCGTTCCAACAGAGTCATTCTTTTTGGTTGCTCTGCTGTTTTGAACACACTGAGGAATTTTGGGGTTTTCTTGGGGAGGGCTAAAAACACTATCGGGGGAGGATGACTCTCCCCGCCAGCTGGAATTGTTTAACTCTTTCCTTGGCTACAATATACACACAGAAAAGTGCCTGTATCATAGCGAACAGCATGACGAATTTTCACCGACTGAACATGAGCGGCTCCTCTCCTGGCGCCTCCTTCCATCACCCCCAGCCCCCGAGGGCACCCGCTCTCCTGACTTTACCAGCACGGACTCGCTTCAGCGGCCGGAGTCATCCTCAGCTCACATGACAGCCTGACTTGCAGCTGCCCTCCAGGTCGGAGTTGGCGAAGCTGCCGGGGCTCAGCTGGGCTGACCTGGGACTGATTTCCACTGGGGAGGGGCCCACCCAGCAATTCTCAACCCAGCACATGTCCAGCGGCTGCTTCAGCCGCCCGGGCAGAGTGCACAGGAGACGATTGGCCCCGTCTTGGCTACCAGATGGCCCTCCTGTGTCCAGGGAGGCCTCTGAGAGGTCAGCCTGGTGACTCAATGTGGAGAGGGATGGGGGTAGAGTTCTTTTTCCACGTGTTTCTAGAAGTCCTGCCACGTGTCCCAGGCAGTGGGAGGTCCCTGATCAGGATGATTCAGCAGCTTCTACGTGCAAAATAGCTGAGTCTGCGCCCTGGGCAAGCCACGTGGTGTTTGGTTGGAACTGCCCCATTCAGAGCAGCCCTTCTGCATGGAAACCGTTCTTCCCAGCACCTATGCCAGGTCCTCTGTTTACCTGGGCAGCTCTGAGCCCAGGTGCCAGCTGCCAGCCGGGACCCGTTTGCCTCCTCAGTTGTCCTCCATCCCGTCTTCCTTCACTGGCCCCCACTGAGAGCCAACTCCATATCACGAGCTCATTTCACTAATGAAAAGCCAGATTTGCCTTTACGCTCATCCCCCTCCCCCGTTTCATGGCATGCATCATTAGACTCTACCCTCTGCTTCCTCAGCAAATAGCTGCTTTAATTGTGCAGAACAGAGGGACAGAGGGCTGGCCAGAGCTAGTGGTCAGAAAAAAATGCTTCTGAACTAGTTGACGTGGCTGGACAGAGAAGCCCTCCTTCGGGGAACACCGTGCCATGACTAAGGAGCAGAAAGATTTTCCTCCCACACCTTCTCAACTCTCTGTTCTCTGGAACTATCTCACTCTGCCCTGGGCAAGGGGGGAAGGGCAGGGAGCCCTGGAGAGATTGGAATTGTGTTTCCACTATACCTGGGAGGCTAGTACAAGAGGTGGGGCAAGCTACCCCATCTGGTCAGTGGTTCTCTTATAGAGTGTGTGCAAAGTCACTTGGGAAGTGCATGAAATAGACAAGCTTTTGAGGTTCCTCCCTTCCCCGGGTCCAGGCTAAGTCTCAGCAATCTGCATACTAGGAAAGCATTCCAGGCGGCTCTGATGTGGGGGACCCCGAGCCATAGTTGGAGGGACAATGGTCTAGAGAGCAGCACCTTCCCCAGGTTACAGATGGGGAGAGAGCGAGACCCAGAGGACTCCTGTGGCTTACTACAGATCATATGGAATAAGGCCCGGGACCCGAGTCCCGCCTTCTTTGCATGCCTGCACTGCTCTCGTCACGTCCCACACATTGAACTTGCCCGTGGAGCCCGGAGGCCCTGAGGCCCTGACCTGTCTATTCTTCCTCTGTGGGGCCTCTTGCTCTGCTCTTTCTTTCTCTTACTGCCATCACCATAACCTGGATGTTAAGACACAGGGTGGGATGTCTTCTCCAAAGGCCAAACTCCTTCTTGCTTCCTGTTTATCCTTTCCTCTCACCCCCCACCACCATGTTACTCTCCCTATAATGCAGATCACTCCCTGCCCTGCCCCTCCATCTATGGGACAAAGTCAGAAAGGCCTACCCTGACCTTCCATGTCTCCCCTGTTTGTCTCAACCTACCTTTTTGACCTCAGAACCCATCACTCCCTTGTAACTCCCTCTCTACATGATTTCCCTCAAATACCACTTTGTTCTTTCTTGCCTCCACTCATGTGATGCCATCGTCATCTTGGCCAACAGCACTTCTGCCCTGTCACACTGAATCCTCCAATCCCCCAAGGCCCAGGTGAAAGACCTCCTCCTCCAGGAAGCTTTCCTTGACCATGCAGCCCTAGCATTCTCATCCTTCTCTGAACCATCAGAGCGCTGAACCATTTATTATCTCTTATTATTACCTTTTATATTCTGCTATGAATTGTGAGCCTTAAATAATTCCCAGCTACAGATCACAGCCTACCCTTCTAGTTACCCACCCACTTAGCAACGGTGCTTTGCACATAATAACTACCTAAGGGATGTTAATAATGCCGGAGCCATCAATGCTAGAGCCACGGAAACCTTGGCCTGTAGGTAGCTGATCAATTAGTTTGATGACTTTTCTATGCCTCCTGGGCTAACAAAGGCTTTTACAAATTTAAGCCAGGTCTTTCTCTGGATTTTTTGTCCACTGTAGTAATCAACTTCCCTGCTTGTCAACGAGGCCAGCTCCACCCTCCCACTTACCATAACAAGCTATGTTGCAAATCCCTTGTGACTCTGTCCTAAACAGGACATAATAGTAGTTCTCCCTTATCCATGGGGATACATTCCAAGACCCCCAGTAGATGCCTGAAACTATACATAATATCGAACCCTATATATATACTATGTTTTTATCAGTACATACATACCTATGATACAGTTTAATTTATAAATTAGGCACAGTAAGAAATTAACAACAAAAATAACAAAATGGAACAAGTATAATATACCATATTAAAGGCTATGTGTGTGTGGCCTTCCCCTCGCCACCCCCAGAACCAAGAGAGCTACTAAGTGACTAACAGGCGGGGAGCTAGGCAGCGTGGATGTGCAGAACAAAAGCGATGATTCACGTCTTGGGCAAGACGGAGTGGGACGGCTCGCGATTTCATCACTCTATTCAGAACGGTGCATAATGTAAAACCAATGAATTGCTTATTTCTGGAATTTTCCATTTAATATTTTCAGACTGTGGTTGACCTTGGGTAACTGAAACCACAGAAAGTGAAACTGCAGATAAGGGGGGACTGTATTAGCATTCTGCACTCGCCAGGGGACCCAAGTACTCGGCCTCCTGTTCCCACTCCCGCTGATGACCACGTTTCCCATTCAGTGCAACACACCAGCTATGCTGATTTCAAGGCGCTTATCTTGCAAGCCTGCCAGCAGTGGCCAATGTCGTTCTTGACCCAGTCCCACAGGAACCCCATTGCACGGCTGATGTCCCTCTCTCCCCGTTTAAGACAAGCATCTCTTTTCACTAAGGATGTTCCATCTCCATTTCGTCTATTGCTTGTTTACAAACAGGGCAAGAAGTAGTTAATTCTAGACCTACTGACAGTTTAATCAGCGGTTCTCAACCTGTGGGTGGCGACCCCTTTGGCGGTCGAACAACCCTTTCACAGGGGTCACCTAAGACCATCCTGCATATCAGATATTTACATTACAATTCATAATAGTAGCAACATTACAGTTATGAAGTAGCAACGAAAATAATCTTATGGTTGGGTCACAACATGAGGAACTGTATTTAAAGGGCCAGAAGGTTGAGAACCGCTGGCTGGCTTAAGTCTTGGGGCCTGAGCCAAACATTCAGAAAGGAGCCCTTTATTCTTTGTTTATTGTAGGGTAAATGTCCTACAGAAGAGAAAGGCTCTCTCCTGCCCAGGGCCCTTGCAGTGTGGAAGTACCCTGGGTATCTTCACCTGGGAGGTCTGGTAGAAATCCGTGCAGGAAGCCTTAACACTGACTCAAAGTTCAAGTACACAGAGCAGGCTCGTCCGCTAGGAGAAAGTGTAGCATGCAACCCCTGTGGAGTGATTCCTCAGAGAGGCCTTTGTGCCTATTTAATAATATCAGAACTGCTCTCTCTACCCCCAAAAAATATCTCCAGAGATCGTGACATTTCTGGCTTTCTCATTAAACACAGCCATCTCCTAAAAAAATATTTAAGATCTCCACTTACCAATATAGGTCCAGTCGAACCCTGCAAAGAACAAAACAAAGCAAGTTAAGTACAATTATGCTTGAACAAGTTGGAAAAAAACACACAGATTTCATTTTGAAATGGGTGAGACGGAAAAGGGGGTGGATGCCCAAAACTTCTTCAGTAAAAGCCTCCCCAGACATCCTCGAGATGCCAAATTTAATTAGCTGAGAGGGTAAAAAATTCACAAGGCTCAAAACCCAAAAGCTGCCGAAAGGTCTACAGTAAAAGCTCTTTCTCCTGCCAGATCTCTCTGTTTCCACTGGAGATGGCCAATTCATCAGTTGATGGAATCTTTTATGGTATGACTGCACACACTTATGTATTGTATTCTTTTCACCACCACCCCTCTTTTTTTGTTAATCCTCACCTGAGGATATTTTTCCCATTGATTGTTAAAGACAGTAGAAGGGAGGCAAAGAAGGAGGGAGGGGGAAGGAAGGGAGAAAGGGAGGGAGGGAGGGAGAGAGGGGGGGGCGGAGAGAGAGACATCAATATGAGAGACACGTCGATTGGTTGTCTCCCACATGCACCCTAACTGGGGCAGGGGATTGAACCCGCAACCCAGGTACATGCTCTTGACCCAGAATCCAACCCACGACCCTTCAGTGCACAGGCTGGCACTCTAACCACTGAGCACACTGGCCAGGGCTCCTCCCTTTTTTCACACAAAGGCTGGCATGTTGGAAACACTATTTTGCATCTTGCTTTTCCCCTACTTAACAACACATCCTGGAGAATAGTTCACATCGGAACATAAAGAGGAAAACACTACTCTCCAAAGGAAAGTGTTTCTTTGGGGAAGCTGCCGCCCTCGCACGAGTTAGATTCCAGGGGTGGGAGGAACGTGTAGGAAATATTCTGCCAGGAATATAACGGAAGTCACCCGCCACTTCCCACTCCCCACCCTGCACACGTAAAAGTCCTTCATTCCTACATCAAAAGGCATTGTTTGAAAAGCTGTTGCAGACCCTGCCTGACACCTCCCTCCTTACCTCCAGAAGGAGATCGAGACCCTGAATGAAGACTCAGGGTGTCTCCGGGCCGCATCCCAATGCGGGGACTGTCCAGCTCCTAAGTCCCTCTCTCCTAGCTTCTCCCAGTGTCTCGTGCTCTCGGCCCACCGGGGACAGCGGGAAGAGGAAGGCTCTCCATCCCCTTTCTCTCTCGGGAACTGATTTGAATAAAATTTAACTGGTCACTTATGACAACTAGGCATCTCCTACTCAGGCCAATGGTGGATTTTAAAAGCTAAAAGAGGACTTTGCTTTTATTTTTAAAGCTGGTTTAACCTCATATTTTTGTTGTTGTTCTGTTTCATTTCTGTGCTTCAGTGCTTTTAATTATTTTAATTCTCAATATTAATTGGTAATCTTATCAAAATACACTTGTACATGGTTTATAGAGTCAGGTGGTTCTAACAAGGCTTTTTTTTTAAATCGGTCCCCTGACACCCCTAGTCATTTTCCTGCTCCTTACGGCACCCACTTTGACTACTCTTCAGTTAATTCTTTTGGTATTATCTCCATATCGCTATAAAACATGCCCCTCTTTTGCTCTTTCATGATTTGTTTAGATGTAGGCATTTACTGACACCCCGCCCTAAGTTCCCATAAACTTAAGGAATCTTTGATTCTTCTTCTCACTCTTTGGGGGCTAGGGGGAGACCAGACCAATCCAAGTAGCTGATGTAAACTATGGACCTTTTCCTCATAAAAATACCTAAGCTTAGACACAAGTTTATGTACAATTAGTTTCAGGAGGTTCACAGAACCCCTGGGACCTACTATGGACTCCACAGGCATCAACAGTCCCAAGATTAACCTCCCCTGGATTAGCAATTGGATGAAGGCGGTCAGAACCACAGGAGAACCGGACTTGTGTGTGGCCCCCACATGTGCACCAGCTCTGCACTGAAACAGCAGAGAAAAGGGACAAAGGAAGCGCTGCCTCCGAACTGCGCTCCAGAAGACATCAAACCTCCTCCCGAACATTCTCCTTCAGCTTTTTGTTTCAGGGGTTCGCTATTAAAATACAACCACGGACTTCACACAGAGAAGCAGATGGTTTCCACTTAGCCAGGCAGAGAGAGCTCTCGGAGGCCTGGGATGTTGTCTGACAGGTCATGGGAGCGCCCCTCACTGCTGCCCTGAGACACAGGCCACTCCAGGGATCCTGGAGGCCACCAGGAAAGCAGCTGCTGCCTCGGAGCAGTCCTGCTCTGGCCGGAAGTTTTAGCTGCACTTTCCCCCAAATGGAATCGTACCCCCAATACCCTGCGCCTTCTGCTCCGCTCCCGAAAGCTCGCTCAGCTGAGGTTTCTCCTGTGATCGCAGTGCTCATCCTCAGATGAGGCACCAGCATGATGCTGTGGGAGCTCAGGGACCGAGGCTGCAGAGTGGACACCTGAGGCCCGGCAGCCCTAGATGTCCTTGAAAAGCAGCAACATCCAGAGCACCTTTCGCTGCCCTCCTCTCTCTGCCCAAGCCTGGTTGGGCCTCAACACTCAGCGCTTTGAGTGCATGTGGCAGCCTGGAGGGGCTCAGGAGCAGGGGGCTGGGGGATTAATCGCCATAAAATAGAAGCGAGGGTGATTTGAGTTGGGGGGTTCACCGGGGAAGGTCAGGCCCCAGCCCGGTTCACCGTCAGCTCAGACCTGACCTCAGGCAGACTTCATAAGGAAGTGTGTGTCTGTCTGCGCTTTATGGACGTGGCGCCTCCTGATTCCCCACGTTAGCTTTAGGGACAGGCGTCTTACTTAGCAGGACTAAACTGACCCTGCAGGACAGGTCAGGCCAAGGCTGCTGTCGCTGCCCCTTCCCCCTTCGTGGCCCTTCGGGGAGGGGAACTATTCCTTCCCAAGGGGGTGAGCCTTGGGAGGCCCAGCCGGTGCCTGTTAGAGCCTGCAGCCCAGTGTGTCCCCGGCAGGGAGGATGCCCTGTGTGCTCTCCAAGGAAGTGATATTTACATAGATCCAGGTCAGGGGTTTGGGGCTTTGCCCGTTTCCTGTCCTGGGTGCTAGAAGCTTCCCTGAGTTCTTGAGACTGCCCAGCTGGCCACACCGGGTTCGCACAGAGCGGGTGCTGCAGAATTCACCGCCATGTTCCCCCAGCAGCTAAGCACCCAAGGTTTTCTCCGGAAGACACCCCACTTCACCTGATTTTGCTCCCTCCCAACCTCAGAGTTTCCCTCAGACATTCTCCAGGGCCAACGGCTGGAGATTTAAATGCTCCGGGCAGAGGGCAGGCCACACTTTGACCCCATTACCAAGCTTACCCCCCTTCAGGCCCAACCTTGGGTTAATACTGACACTCCACACCTCAGTGATTTTTGCCTTGACCTTGTCCCCAAGGCAGTTAAGACGCCCAGAATCTCATGAGGAATAATAAAGTAAAAACTGTGTTCTTCAAACCTAGGGGTAGGCAGGTGGGTTATTCAGTGTGGGGTGAACGTGGAGTTTTTACACCATCCTAACTTGGAGAATGGGGAGGGGAGAAGGGAGGACAAAGGAGGGGGGGAGGAAGAAGGGCAAGGAGGGCAGGGGAGGAGGGAGAGGGAAATCAGGCAGGAAGAGAACAAGCCGGAGGAGCTGCCCCCAGAGTGAGGGGAGTAACAAACAGGCTTTCAGGAACGCCAGCCAATGAATGGCTGTTTCTCTCTCTGGTCTTAGAACAGCTTGGAACTAAAAGGGAGACTTTTAGTGAAACTTCAGGTCTCAGTGCAGCTTTCTCCAGAGGGGGATACATGCCAAAGTTTGCAGTTTTAAAAATTAATTTCCACTTTTACATAACGCCTTTCTCTCACCGACCTTCTATTTCTCCCGGGGGTGGGGGGGATAATATTAAGCACATCATGCCAGTGGACTGGAATTGAATTCAGAGTAATGGCAAAGGTGCTGACAGCCCAGCTCCCCACTGTCCCCTGCCCTGCACCCGCTACCCCCCGGGGGGAGGGGGCAGAATGACCTCCAAGAAGGAAGGGGGCTCCCAGTTTCACATGCTGAACAGGACCGATTCCCCACCACCACTGCCTAGCCAGGGAGTAGACATGTTCAGCCATTATGGTCACTTTGGGTCCTTCTGTAAATATTTCAACCTAACGGGCTCGGGATTATAGCACCCACACATGTCTTTACAACTTGAGACAAACTGTCAAGGGCGGGGGCCACCATCAGTTACCGGGGGAGTTTCCACAAAAGTCACCATTTACTCTCTCAGAACAGCATTCACCCAGCTGTTGGGGAGGCAGGCAAAAGCATGGCATCCTCCCCCACGTGTTACAAAGGACTGGCTAACCTGACCTTAGCTACTCACCGCAACTCACTGCACAGACCTGAGTCTACAGCCAGGCCCACCCACCGCCTCCTGCCACCTCCGTCCGCACCCTCAGCCCCAGCCTCAGGGCTAAGGGCCCTAATTACACTCAGAAATAAGGTGTGTGTGCTCATCTGTGCGCGTATCCACACACACACACACACACACACACACACACCCACACACACACACACCCACACACACACACACCCACACACACACACACCCACACACACACACACACACACACACACACGGTTAGGACAGTTTTTCCTGGAGAAAAACAATGATTAAGGATGGGATGCATCATCCCTTTGACTTGCAGGTAAAACCCAATGGCGAGGAGCCTCCCCCCCGCCCCCCGCCCCCCTGAGTAAAGCACCCGCTCGGGTGGGAGGCTTCTGCCCTGGAGCCACTGCACACCCTTCCCGCCGCGACCCCGCTCAGGATGCCACAGTCCCCTTCCCATCGCGCAGCATTTAACATCCCGGTTCCCGGCCCCAGTGAGCAAGTTCCCAAGCAACCCCTGCGGAGCTGCAGGTGCTCGGAGAACACAGACACATTTCAATAGGAAGACAGTGCAGTGAGTTCCCCCAGCCACGGCAGGTCGTGCATTCCAAAGGGAAACGGAGCATCCCTCCTAACAATGTGCAATTGGACACGAGGCTTGTCCTCCCTGCTCCCCCTCCCCACAC